TGTCTGACTGCTCCTCCATTTCACTGGATTCAGTCTAGGGAGTCATTTTTACTTGCTCTTCTGAAGGGAGATTAAAAGAGAATATGAATAAAGGGAGCTGTTAATTCTGTGTCACAGCTAGGAAAACACAGGTCTTCCGATCACATGTTCTCCCCAGTCTTTAATTGCAAAATTATACTTGAAGGTTTGGTGCAAATCTCTCACCTCCATTTTTAGGCTACTAACAACAGAGAACCCCAAAAGTATATAGCCTTGTTTAACCTGCAAAATCTGCACAGTGCCTTTAAATAGGTGAGATACTGTTCATTACTAGTATATTGTAATCATCCTTGTCATTTTAAGGGGAGTTGAGCTAAACCACATTATGGGGCAGAAAACACTTTTTCTTTTTTTTAATCATTGACAATTCCCTCTGTGGTTTACGGCACTCTGAAATGACATTTCTGCCCAAGATGAGTCTTTCCAGATAAATAATGCTGGCCTGTGGCTAGCAGCGCTCAGCCTCTTCATAATTATTCATCACACTAGATCCAGCAAGAGGGAAAAAAAAAAAAGCATTTACAGCCTGCTCTTCTCACATTTTGTTTAATCATTAGATACAATAGCAATTAATAGACCATTCTGATTTTCAAGCAAGAGACATTAGAATTGCTGGGGGAGAGGGCTGGAAATCAGGCGATTTAGAGAATTATTGCTCCAGTGAAAAAGGCAGGGAGAAGGTTCTTGAGCAGGGTATTTTTGTACTTAAGCAGGTAATTTATACTTAAGAGTAAAAATTAAAATGGCACCAATTAAAATAATGGGAGCTTTGCCTAAACAGGCTAGATGAGCATAATCTAGCATAGATTATCACAGTATAACATGCYGTGGTAGCCCTCTAGATCTCATGTTTTTGCTTTGCCCTCAGAGCTGCRGCAGCTCCACTGCCCTCGGACCGGTCGTGCCCAGGATCCTCGCCCAGCACCGCCTGCAGCCGCCCGGCACCCTTGCCCTGCAATTAAACCTCAGCYTCCAGGAGAGACACTCATTGCCCTGGGTCTGCTCAGCACCCGGCGCAGCAGGATCTTATCATCCAGAGCCCTCGCTGCCAATTACACAAGTGACACGTCATCAAAACCTGCATTTTTTTCCCCCCTCTATGAATGTTATGTAAGTTCTGCCTGCCATAAGGTATAAACACCATAAAGTGCACCTCTTTGCATTCCAGCATATTGTGGAAGATCATAAAAACACTTAATATATTATTTAAGCCAGTTAAGCTCGATAGCACAAGGGCAGTAATTAGTGACAATTCTCCAAATCCCCATATGCCAGACAAAGGATCATGCTTAGCATTTTCAGGCTGGTAGGAGGGAATGAGAACATTGCAGAAATTAAATGACACACACTTTCTTTATGCCGCCTCTCTCACCAGAGCCTACATTTCACTACAGCTATCCCACTGCAATATAAATAAGAGAGACTGAAACCCATCACAAAAAAAAAAAAGCTAGTCTTTTTCTATTATTTTAACCAYTAAGAGGGTGCTCAAAGCTTTAAGAAAAGATAGGCCGCTTCTCTCAAYAGACGTATCCTGTAGGCCAGGAGGGAATTTCCTTTTTCATAAAAATAAAACCTAAAATAAAACCAAACCATCCCAAACCTGACTTCCTCTGAAAAATCCATAATCTACAGTAAGGGTTAGGGGCCTGGGCAGGCTCGAGGACACCGTCCTGCAAGGTGCCCATCTCCACGGCCAGGACTCTTGCAGCTTCTCAGCTTTATGGGAGGAAAGGCAGTTACTGTCCGTGATGCTTTATATGATGTCACCCAACACTTTAACAGGAAGAAATTAAGTCACTTTGGATATTAAAAGAAACTCAGCTTGTTACAGACTTCTCTGTGTGAACAGCAGCAAAGGGGAAGGGTTTTGAACACGCTAGTAACGCTGCATATTCTATTTGCATAAAATCCTCAAAAAATTCCCAAGTATCATGCAAAGGAAGACCCCTAACTGCTCTATTTCTCACAGTCAAAGAACAGAGGAAGCTGATAAAGCCCTTTCAGTTCCCCAGAACACCAAATAGCTGAAAAAAACCCTGAGGTTAGCAAACACCATTAACAAGCACAAACATCTGGCTGGAAGTCGAAAGCGAGAAACTCAACAATAAAGCTACCAGAGGCACAAAACAGGGTAGGAATGTGAAGAGATGCATCTATTGACAAGGAGACATCCAGCACGTGAGATTAGTCGTCAGCAGCACTGGCTTCTACAGKAGATTTCACTGGCTGCATCTTCCAGGAGGAGAATAATGGGCACACATGGTGATTTTTTCCAAGAGAAGATGCAGATGGTGAAAGGGGTCCAAATGTATCGATGGCTTCCTGTTTAATACCTGTGTAGCACTGGACACGAGTAGTGTTTGGGCTCTAGACCACATCAGCTCAAACGAGTGATAACTCCCAATGGTTGGCAAGAAGAGGCTCCTCCAATGCTTTAAGATACTTTTAATTCTATCGCACAGAAACGACAGCCAGGCCTAAGCTCCCTTTYGGATCTCTTCCACAGATACAGGATTTATTAACCCGAGCTATATTTACTGGCACCAGACCCGTCTCCAGTCAGCTGTGATAGTTTGCATCATGCTGAAGCACCAGGAAAGGAATTTCTAGCTACGATTAGCGAAGCCTCCACCCCATGCGCTGAGCTCTTGCACCAGGTGTTGTTAATCACTCTATCAAGCGGGGCGTTCACCACCCTCGTGGTAGGAACAGGTTACTAACAACATTCCTCATTGCAATTCCTTTCCAGTATCACACTGAAATCCATCTGACAATGCTCTATTTGGTGTTTATATTTAACTCAACCACCTGTACATTCAGCTGGTTTTCAAGTATAATGTAAAATACTTGTAAATCTCTATGCAGTTGTCAGCACTCGTTCCCTGGGACCTGTCACTAAATAAATATTGCATCAGGTGCTTGCATATAATGTATGCAACCTGACTCATCAGATCACACATAGCATCCAAACTAAATCTGCATAAAACGGCGAACAGCAAGCAGCATGGACAGAATATCTTCACAAATATTTTCTTTTTTGCTCTGTGCATAATCCCGCACTGGAAGAGTTACTCCACCTGAAATGTTAGACAGTGTTTGCACTTTGGCAGCTCATTGAAAACTAAGGGACTCAATAAACAGTAGAAATTATTATTCACAAAAGAGCTATCGGGGAAAAGGAATTTTTTTTCCCTGAGGCCTATTGGTAGAGTCTCACTGCCRCTCCGTCTCCCTTCCCTTAAGGAATAGGAGATGTGTAATCTATTTGTATTCCCGACTTTCCCCCTCCCAATTAGGCAGCTTTCAAAGGATTCCTGACCTTAAGCAAGCAGTATAATCTGGTAGATACACACCACAGATGTGGTCTGGGTTTGTGCAGCCTTCAAACACAAGGGGCTTCAAAGGGGAAGTCAATCTTGCCTTCGGGAGGAGCGAGGGCAGGGGCACAGCCACCGGCACCCGCTGACTCAAAGGCATTCTTTRTGCCTGATCCTGCACGGATTCACCCACAAGACCTTATGGGAGGAACAAAACGAACCAAAATCTGAGTCAGCGATACCAAAGAAATGCCAAGAGACAGGAAAAGCTTACAGCTTCAGCAGCCAGTACAGCTTTGAACATCATGACACAGTTCAATGGGGGAAAAAAGTGGTTGACAGCCTCAACTGTCTAGTCCTTTCCTGCCCTGCTACTGCATAAAGTAATTCCATAGAAGACTAGGAAATCACTGCCTCTGGTGTGAACCCTGTTGTTGGGCAACTCTTCAGCTTAATGAGAGCCTCAGATGAAGAATGTCCAAGGAAGTCCATGTCTGCTTCCTGGTTGCATAGTYATTACATTGGCTGTGCTGTGTGGCATATACCAAAAACAAAGAACAAAGATGGGTTGTTCAAGGGGAACTCAAGGCTTTCTCCATCCTCTGAAACCATGATGTGTACACATGATAAAAGAGCCTTTCCATGCCATAATCACATGTTTGTGGAAGCTGTAATCTCTCAAGTGCACAGATACGGCCATGCAAATATGAGTTATGCCTGTGCTAGCAACTGGGCAATGTCTCTAGAACTCCTGAAGAGCTTTTAATCTAGGTGCCAAGAACATGTCCTTGGATATCACTTGGTCTAAGAGGTGAGGACATGAGATTTCTTGATTTGGACATTAGCAGGGAATCGACTTATTGCTTTGGACATTAGCAGAGGACTGGGAGCTGCCTGCCACAACCACGTACAGAAGTGCAGGGCCAGGGCGTGCGACACGTTGAGCCATCAGCTAAGCTTTCAACATCTCCTTCCGCCAAGCAGCCACCTCCACAGTCCCATGAACACCAGCACAGCCCATTCAGAGGCACTTGCTGAGCAGAGCCCTGGAAATGTCTCCCTATGGCAGCGGTGACCGGGACCAGTGGAGTCACAACACGGCAATTGCCCCAAGAGCACAGGGACAAAACAGCCCTGCTGGTCCCACAGGTCAGGGCAGGGCAGGATCTCAGCACATTTGCCTTATGAAAGACAAATGAACTACAATGAGCTTGAACTACATCTCCAAGATCCCAAAATTGTCCCTGTACTCCAAGCCTTTCCAGACTTCTTCCTGGCAAGGCCAGCTCGCTCTTTTAAAAAGCAGAGTTTGCTCTCAGATGTCACCCAGAGGTGACAGCTTTCGCTGCCAGGTCCCTCTACCTGTTGCCATCYCAAGTCCCACTCTCTAGCTCACTGAAAGCTCCATCCGCAAGAACCACCAGGAGCCCTGAACACCCCAAACACGAGCGGCACGGAGGATGCCCCGCGCCTCCCCGTTTCTCCGGAACACATTCCCATGCTGCCGTTGGGGCCAGCCGGCCTGGGCACTACAGTTGGTGGAACTCGGAACGAGTCCTGGTCACCCGGGCAGCGACRCAAGCCCAGAGCTGTGGGCACCTCCTGGGACGCGAGAGGGACCTGCCGCTCACTGAGGGGACCATGGGCTCGGAGCAGGACACGGCTCCGGTGGATCCGCGGGTCGGCCGGGTGAGCAGGGATCAGCCCCCGGGGCTACCTCCAGAGCAGCCTTTGGGCTCCCTCTGGCAAGCAGCAGTTACCTGAGAGGGCAGCAGAGAGGAGAACTTCTCTTCCTACACGTTTTAGTATGCTTTAAAAGGCAACATGAGGTTGTATTTGAGGCAGCTACATAATCTTGGCTTTCCAAAGAGGAGCTCCCTACACAAATATTGACATTGGGAGGAAAAAAGGCAGCCATTCTCCTTGCAGAAAGGGAAGATTTTACCCACTGACCAGAGAGGATGGAGTTCAGTGGTCGAGGGTTTTCTGCTTGTTTTTAATTTGGCTTTGTGTGGGTCAGGCCTGGTCCTGGTCCCCTTGGACATGAGCGAAGCTGCGCAGGGCACCGAGCCCGGCGTGTTACAATGAGCCCATTGTAGCCCCGCGTTTCGGCTTAACCCACTCCTGTTTGATTAACACCATTAGGAGCGAGTGACCATTATTTACCTTCTAATTCATTAGAAACAGGATTTCCAAGCAGGCCTTAAAGCAGAGGGCCTAATTCATATAGACTTTTAATTACATTAGACTACCAAGCTTCAGGAAGCACCTTTAAAACCCTGCTTGGAAACCCTGGGAGCGAGCAGTGCTTCTGCGCCTTAGGATGTGGCTTTTGCTTGGCACCTTTTAAAACAGAGAGTGAACGACTTGCATGTACTGAAAGACTTATCTCTGGTTTTGGTCATTTGCAGACCACAGAGCAGGATCTGCTCGGCACAGCAAGCAAGACAACCTGCTCGGAGGGCGGTCTGGGCGCTCCACCTGGCAGAGCTCAACTCATCTGCTGCACAGAAGACCTCGATGAAGACACCTTTAAAATTGTGAGATACCAAATGAATTTTAGCAATAGAGAGAGGGAAAAAAATAGTGACATTAAGCTGTCTTAAGAGAATAAGCAAGTTAAACTCAAGTTTGGCAGATGGAGCAAAAAAAAAAAAAAAATGGCAAAACACTTCATTTTGTAGCTACATCCTTCCACATCTGGAAGTTTTTGACCTCATGGTTGTTTTTTAGTCTACTGGACATGATACTGGCTGGCTTGTCATAAATTAACAAAAATGCATCGCCAAAAAAACTCTTCACATACCTGTTGAGTTTTTGAAACACGTGCTGCTATGCTATTTTTTCATGTAATGACACACGCACCCCAATTTCAGTTGTTTAGTTCATCTGGATCATTATGATCTGTGATAAAAATGAATTTCCTAACGTTCCTACAGAGGAACCTCATTTCCATTTCTGTTGCACTGTGGCATAACCAGAGGCGAGCCCAGCCTTGGTTTACTGCACACAACAGGAGGAGAAGAAAGCCAGAAAGCAGAAGGCATCCAGAAGATGCTGTTTGCTTTTACATACTTGGTTCCTGTCGTGCACTGGCATTTGCAGCATATCCCAGGGTACAGGCACAGGAAGCAGAACTGTGTGAGCAGAGGTTCCCTTCCCCCTCCCTGCACAACCCAGAGCTCTTCTGTAGCCTGAAATCTGTGTTTTGCCCTGTGATGTCAACAGGGAATCCCCAGTCTTGGAAAGCCCTCAATTACCCTTGGCTTTTACATTTGACRTGCTGCACTCTCGGTGTCACACCAGGAATGAACCCAAAACCTGCGAGCCTGATCCCTACACCCTGCACACATAGAAGCAGCTGCAAAAGTTCCCAGCCCAAACCCATTTTTGTTCACCCACATCCACCCAATCAGTAGAATACAGGGTGCCTTTAATTTTTCYTCACCCAGCTATTTAATAAGTTTATTTACTGAAGAATAAGGTCTCAGTTGGATTTCGAGTGCTAACCACAACCATTTGAACAGCCTGAACTGTTCTCCTTCACAGTGTAAGGAGTTTTTGAGACCCTACAAAAAATCCCTTCGGAAACTGCACTTGCCCCAGCACATGGCCAGAGAGAAGAAGCTCAAGTACACGAGGGAGAGCCTGACGCTGCTCGGGGACCACATCAGCATGTTCCTGGAGCAGCACTGCAAGCCCGCCGAAGTCAGCCACTGGAAGCAGTAAGGTCCCTGTCCGCTCCACGGCCCCGTTCCTGCATGGACAGGGTTGTGTGCCCAGGTGMAAGCAGCAGAGCTGGGAGCCCCTCAGGCTTTTCCAACACGGAGACCTGCTGGAGGTTCAAGTCTCTTCTGCCTCAAGGGCAGATGCCCAGGGATGAGACACTGGGGGGCTGATGAGGTGCCTGGCAGCAACATCCCTRGGCAAGTGCACGGGTTGCTGCTCGGCCACCCGGGTTATTGGGTCAACCTCCACGCGCTGAGGGAAGATGAACTCATCAAAACCTACAAGCTTTGCAGAAACCCACATGCAGAAGGTTCTCTGCTCCTTATCCTTGACAAGCCAGGGCTGGGGAGAAGCACTAGGAGGGGAACAAAGCTACTCACGCACACGGATCATCCTTTCCCCAGGATGCTGTGGACGTACGTGGCCCTCTTCTCAGAGATGGATGCCAGGCAATTGCACAGGCTGTATAAATACACCAAGAACAACCAAATGGATAAGTTTCTGGTAAGCAATTGGGAAAGTGAACACCAGTAAGGTCCTTCTGATTTAAAGGGATACCTGTGCCATGGCTGGACAGTGTTTTAGGAGAAACCCCAACTTCTACTGAGAAGTCCTGTGGTGACTGAGGACCTGAGGTGACATCTGCCACACTGCTTTGTGGTTTTGGGCACTGCTTGTTGCCTCCATGCTCCTGACACAGGCATGCATTACAGAACACATTTTAGCCTTAATTTGATAATTTRAGAGACGTGCTTTGAAACAAGCAGCTAATTCAGAGAGAAAAAGAAAGAAAATAAGAAAAAGAGAAAACAATGCTCCYTATAGACCTTATTTCTGTGGCTCAACAACATCTGTAGAAAAGGAAACTAGTGACCGGTTCCTGAGAAAAACAAACTTCAGAGGGTTAATCCAGCCAAGCACGTTCATGACCAGTTACAAACATGTCTGCTGACCAAAGGCTGAGCACTCAGGAAGTGCAAAGGTCCTTGAGAAACACACACCTTATCACAGGAGCGAGAAGCCTTTGCAGCAGACACGGGCTCACTCGGTCACCGGGGCCCTGTTTGCTTCGTGTTAGAGAGAACTGTGGTCACCGATACCTGGCAGTGACGAGGCAATAAATAAGTTGGAGGCTGCAGGTGAAGAGCTGGCTCTTCCATCTCAAGAAAGAGGGCACAACCAGCTTTTAGGTTCAGCTGACGGGGAAATAAAACAACTTGTTTATTTATAAGGCCAAATGGATATTTCCAACAATAAGGAAGTTGAACCTGTGGTTAAAAACCCAAGCATACTCACACRTTGCTAGCGTGAGACACTCCAGATTAAGTAGAGGGGTATTAAAATAGCAACTGCAGGCCCTGGGAGCCAGGCTGCGCTGGGAGTTCTCGCTCCGGTAGCTCYGACTCCCCAACGCTCCCGGCCAAGTCGGGTCCGTTTCCAGCAGGGCCATTCCCAGAGGCTCAGCCCGGGCTGGGACAYGACCTCGGCTGAGGACAAACCTCGTTCTTCTCACGTTAGCTCTCTGCAGCCACCTTGCAGAGTAAGTACTAAAAGAAAAACAGAAAAACACCTTCCCATTCCCAAAATAAACTGCACAACCAAAGCACAGAATCCCATATCACATCTCCCTCTCTCCATGAAAAAAAAAAAAAGGAAAAAAAAATATGTGACATGCATTAGTCATGGTGCAGCATGCACTATGGGAGCACATCAGCGGGTGCCCACGAGCATCCACAGGAGCCTGCACAGAAGAAAGGGCTGCCAGATCCGAGCGCTGGCAGCCTCRGCTGCTTCCAAAAGGGCTGCTGGAAGCAGCGACAAATGAGCCCGTTATATAACGGTTGACAAATATCTTTTGTGATGCAAGACAAGTGGGAGAAAATAAGCATCTTTGCCCTTTGTGGGAAGGGAACAGCAGGCAGCTCCCCGCTCCATCACAAACAAGCGGCTGCGGAGCGGAGCCGGCACGCGCTCTGCGGAACAGAAATAGGCTGTTTGGAAACACCTCGTTATTTAGATAAACGAGCATAAAAATATAGAATCAACGCCTCTCTCGTAATTGAGGTTGCCAGTGTATTAATTTGGTAAATTCATGAGTTTGCCTCATGAAAAAAAAATAGCAGTGAGGCTTGCAGAATAACCAGCGAATTAGGAGCACTCGGTCATTGTAAGATGAAAAATCTTCATTCCCTCTCCCACTTGGGATTTTGGGCCTTTTGGCTTTAAAAAGGGCATTTGCATTTAAACACTAGCCCCAATCCTCTGGCTTTAGGCTTTAGTACTGAAATACCCTAGATCCAATCCTAGGGAGCAGAACAACATATTTCTTTGAACTCTCCCTACTTTCAGACAATGCAGAAAACTCATTTGCAATAGAAATCACCCCCATATCTCAGCCTAGAAAACTTCTTTGCTTTTCAAGACCACCTGCGATCCCAGATTTTTTTTTTTTTTWTRTKTKYKCTCTYWTTTTTTTTAAAGAAAAGCCAAACTTCATGAGCACTAATAATATGAAAATGATCTTTTTTTCCTACGAGATTCTGCAGAGGGACTCRGTAACATCAGGCAGCGGCGGCTGCCTCCAGTGCAGGCGCTGCCATAAAGCGACAGTGACATCCAGTGGCAACGGAGCCAGARCCCGGCCTCCAAATACAGCAGAACGGCCCATCCCTGGTGACCTCAAAACATCTGAAAAATGAGGGTGTTTCTCCACAACAGGGATGCTGGGAAGAGTGTGGATTTAACCCGCAGCGTGCAGATCTCGAGGGGCTGCGTAGCTGGGACCGCAGGGATCGTGGGCAGACGCTGCTGCCCCACGGAGCCCCCTCTGGCCACGCGGGACTCGGGGCTCGCTCCCTGCTCCCGGGGACCCCTTTCCAAGTGTCACTTGTTCTCTTGTTCTCCCCCTGCAGCGATTCTACAGTCATTTGGAAAATCCCGAGTCGGCCCCGATCCCCGCCGAGGAGCTGAGGACGCTTTACGACACGTGGGGACTCTGCGGGGACGAGAGCGACGCGCCGGGACAYGCAGCGCAAGGACAGGGCCACCACAGACGCCCCCACAAAGCRGCGCCCGACGGCAGGACCGACCCGTGAGAGGTAACGTGGGTGACGGGACCCCATCAGCCGCCCGGGGACCGTCTCCTCCTGCGCCGAGCGCAGCCATTGCCCTCGGAGCCTGGCGAAACACTCGGGAGGGCAGGACGGACAAGCAGCAGAGCAGAAGTCAGGCGGATGGGCCTATTATCCCAAGAGAGCAGGCAGGGAATKAGGGAAAGAGCCGTAGGAAGGGTGTAAGGAGGCAGCAGGCTCTCAGTGACGTCCCTGAGCGTGGCTCCATGCAGCAGGGCGGATGCTCAGAGCATTCCTGTGGTGCGGGGCCGGGAGGCAGGAATGCAGAGCAACCTGTCACGGGTGGGACAGCAAGAGCAGCCGCTGGCACCGGCACAGGGACAACACCGGGGCCACCGCAGAGCTCAGCTCTGCTGCACGCGGCCGCCCGGCCCCTGCAACGCGGCTTGTCCCACACAGGCCTATTTTGGAGCTGCTAAAATACAACCATGCGGCCTGGGGGAGTTTTCGCAGCCCATCTTGCTTTGCCTCTCTCTTCTCCCCAGGTCCCCTCTGTTTACCTCTAAAAAAAGGTCCAATTTGTCACGTTGCAGCACTTGAAATCCAAGCTGATAAATTAGAAGTTGAAAAACAAGGAGCCAGACAGTGTGACGTAGAAAACGCAGCCCCGAGTTCCCCCTTGCTGGCTGCGAGGCTCCAGGCAAGCCCTGCTGAATCGCTGCCTCTACAGATAATCGCCGCCTAAGCGAGCAGCAGAGATGACACTTAACGCTTACAGGATAAATGCACTGAAGACAAAGTGCCCAAAATGCTGAAAGACACTGCAATTGAAGGGTAACAATGGAAAGCAAGGATTTGGGATTACTCTTGGCTTGACAGCCTAGATCCCTAGGCATCGTGATCCACGTGGCGTTCCTATTCCTTGCTAGTGAAGAGGTGTTTGTGGAGCTGACCCACGTGCAGCATCAACCTGATGGTCAAGACCCCAGAGGGCAGCTGGGGTGTAACAGCATCAGCTGCCCCAGGCTGCTGCTCTGGCCTCACAGGAGACATTCCTGCCATTGATGTGGATTGTTTTGTTTGTTTGTTTGTTTTTTTAAAAGGTTCTAGCAGACACCTACAGAGGCAGAAATCCATACGTGCAGCATCATCACTCAACGGCCTGAGCACAATGCACAGCATGAGAGCAGCCCCCCCATTTCCCCAAACCACCCGGATCCTGCAGCCTCACAGCAACGGCTTCACCCAAGCCAAACCCAAGTGTGCAATTTGCAGCCACCCCATCCTATTTACAACTACCCTGGAGTTTAACAGCAACACACCAGCATCAAGACCTCTCTGAGGATGCCCACTACCCTATCTACTTTTGCTACCTCATCCCTTTTGAATAAAGCCTAATAAGCAGGAGCAGGTTTTGGTGACACATTTGCGCAGCAGCCACCCTTTCCCTGATCTCTTTCCCTGCTCCTTCCATGGACAGACCAGCAGAGAGAAGACAGCAAGAGGGAGAGACCTCCTGGCGAGCACGTGGTGGGGTGACAACAGAAGTTTCCTAACATCTCCACATGCTCTTGTCGTTTCCAGCAGCTGTGGGCAAACAGTGGCCGCGTGCCCAGAGCRGTGTCAGCGCTGCTGGCAGGCGCCCCGGCCGCCGCACATTGATCCAGGTGATCCCAGCACCCAGGAAGAGGGTCCACAGGGAACTGGTAACTTTAGGAGAGCAAAAACTGGAGGAGAAAATAGTAATGAAGCTGAGCAGCTGTGTTTTGGGGTGGGCTGGATTTGAGGGTGGAATCTAGGTTTTAGGAAAACATCAAAAATAGCAATRACATCAAAAATAGCAATAGCCTGGCACAGGAGCGTTTTGTCTGATAAGTAAACAGAATAAAACAAGAAGATCCTTCCCTGTGCTACAACTGGGATGTTTTGGCAACGGCTTCGGTTACTGCCTTTACATCTGAGCCGAAGCGAGGCTGGGGCAGGGTCGCTCCTTCCCAGGCTCAGCAGCCCACACTGGCGTTTTGGGGAATTCTTCAGAAAGAGACTCACTTTCCAAGGGTCCCATGTCCTGAAGCCCTGGTAGGGACTGCGGCACCCACAGGGCACCTGTGCAAAGCAGAGGCAGAACCTGCTCTCAAGAGCTGCAAAGGGGGAAGCTTCAGAGCATCCTCATCCAGCTGCGGAGACTCCGCTTCTCCCGGGGTTTCCTCGCAGCACCGGGGACAGGCAGCGGGAGCGGCTGGGGTGCACCGAGCACTGCAGCGAAAGCAGAGCTGCCCGCACCGCGCACACCTGGCTCAGCACGACGTGCAGCTCTACGGAAGAGAAAGGYTGGGAGCCGTTTCTGCAGCACACACGCCATAAATCAGCCGTAACATCACATGCAATCGCATCAGAGACAAACACGGCGTGCCCTCAAAATGTCACACRCGTTCAAAACGAGGTTGAGCAAGATTAAAGCGTGCTCACGTCCTAGATCACTCCCGAACGTATCAGGTAGGACTTGAGGGTCTTGGACGTGACAGGAAAGCTCTCAAGAAAAGCAGAGCTCTGCTAGGAACAACCTAGACATCCGCCGGGGTGACAGGGGCCAAGGGAGGCAATGGGAGAGGCGGCACCTTGGGGTCCCAGCACAGGCGTTTCCTCACTCCCATTTAGACACAGCAGCAGCAAGTTCACGGAATCCCTTTGGGATGGGCRTTCCCAGCACATTCCTGAAGGGTCCCTGGCCCCAGTAGGGATGCATGAGTCTTTCTGCTGGTGTCAGGGCCTTGTTTGCACTAGTCGGGGAAAGAAGTTGTGGCTGGAAGCAGCTTTGACCCAGCTCCGTGGTCCGACTCCTCCAGAAGCCGGGGGTGGCCACGTACCTCCATTTTCCCCAGGTTTCCTTTACTGGCTCATTCTGCTTGATAGTTCTTCCTTGTCACAGGCTGCTCCGCTCCTCTCGGAGGATCTGCTGCTTCGTCCTTCAGTTTTGGTGTCCCCAGACGTCGGTGCTTCCCTGGGGAGAAGGGAAGGAGTTGAGAAAGCCACGAATGGGGCAGCCATCCCGGCCCATCACCCACAGCACCAGCCCCGTCCCACTGACCACCAAACGGGGACGGTGCAAACACAACATGATAGGGCATCAAAAAAACCCAAAGATGCCAGCAATTGAATCACATGTTACCCAAAAGGCAGGGTTTTTTTTTCAGTGTTTAGTTAACTGCATGAACCAGAAGCACGCGGGTGCCGACTGTGTGTGTCCCCGTTGATGACGAGCGAGGGGGGACGAGGGGCCCGGGGCTGCTGCTGCAACAGGCGGCGAGGAGCCGCTGCCCAACAGGCGGACGAGCCCGCGCAGGAACCGCGGCTGCTCTCACTGCACCTCAAAGGGCGCCGGCCGCGGGGAGCGCGCGCCGCGGGGAGCGCGCGCGCACGTGTTTCTCCAGAGCAAATCAAGTGAATTCAACGCCAATACTCCCAAATGCAGGAACACTATATTTATTAGGTCAATATTTCATTTTAGCAATACAGTTACAGAATATCACAATGCTGGTTACAAACATAGTATGGTTTGATGGTTACAAATAATGTCGGGCACTGCAGTCTGTGAGAAGGAGGATACGAAACGTTAGTCTTGACACGACAGGGAGGGTGGTCGTCAAAGTCTAGTAATGATCAAGATATTCTCGTATAAATGACTGTGGCACTACAGGTAGAGATTCTCATTTAGAGGTGTTTTTTCATATAAGTAGTTGGATTTATACAGTTATACAGTTCAAGCAACATCTTTTTTAGAATGCTATTAAATTAAAATCCCCTGTAGTTCAATAAAGTATAAAAATAGTACTGAGCCTGGTAATATTCAATAAAATGTAGAGTTCATTCACATCATTAAGTAGTAAAGAAATTGTAAAGTTGGAGTTACCATGGCAACATTGCTTCCCATAAAAGAATATACATAAAAGAAAGGAGTTACACATATGGTACCTGCGACAATTATTTAGTGATCCAACACTGAACTTGTGCACCACAAACCAAGTTCCTAAATATCTCTATATATTTATATAGTATATATCTTTTTCATCTTAAAATTTACTTCTGGAAAAAAAAAAATGTGCACTTCAACAAACTCACTAAGGCCACTCATGCTATAGATACCTAGGATTGCAATGAAATATTGTTAAACAAGACCCTAGAGCACGCACCTTATATCACTGAAGGGAAACCTGTTTCACTGCCTAAAACATTCCTGAGATTTACAGACAAAAGCCTTACTACTGCTGTCAGTTGTTCCATAGGTGGTTTACGGTCAGGTGAAGGAAACTTCCTCCCCRCTTCTCACAGAAATCCCCAAAAGGCCAAGGAATAAAACATGCAACAGGCCATTTGCATCAAACACGAACACGCTCACAAGGAATATTCAGATTTGCAAGTAACATTTGGCCAGTAACTTTCTGGTTATGAAMACATGAAAGGGGGTGGAAACGGGGGGAAAACAGTGAGTTTCACATAAAATAAAAGTTTCTGCACAGAGAAAAGAATCTTTGCTGAGACTGGTACCAGCAAGGCCTCCCCTGCTACCTGCTGCCTCCCTGGGCAGTTAAATCTCATTTTCATCCATTGAGTAAAGTTTTGTCAATAGCTTCAATCATGTTTTAGGCACAATGCTTTATTTTTTTTTTATTCTATCAATCTGTATGATTATAAAAAGGAAATTAAATGTGCATTTTCTGTACCACGAGAAGCAGCGCAATGGCACCTTTAGCAAACTTTAGACTGCAGCACATTTAAAGGAAAACTTCATTTTTAAAGAACATCATTTTCCTAATAAGTTAGAATTCAACAACAAAAAAACCCTCCAAAATTATTTAACAAAAACCTCATGTAAAAAAAAGTCTTAAACAATAGATATCTATACAAAGTAAAGAGTGCACATAAAGACTATGAAACAGAGGCAGACACTTGATGGTCGTAACAACTATCATGCCTTAAAGGTGACCAAGCAACTGCATGGAGCCAAATAGTCACTAGCTGCTGTACTTCAAGTAGCTGAGGGAGTTGCCTCTGAAAGGCCCTTCTGCAGCTTTCCCCTTCCTCCTTTGTTGCTTCTCAAACACTGRATGTGCTTCTGCCCTTCCATAAACTCTAGCTGGGAAGAAAACCCAAAAGAAACCCAAAAGACATGGAACCCACAGCGCAGCCTGAGCCCTAGCAAGAGGGCAGAAATCCTGATTTCTTTGTAAGACTGAAATGTTTGCATTAGAATGTAAGAATAACTGTTTCAAACAGTTAGTGTTAGAAATACAACCATAAGGGCTTAAATTTGAAGGATAATTAAATTTTTCTCCACAAGAACCCCATCTGTCCTCAACAGCCATGAGGATGCACTGCAATGTGACCAACTTACCTTCAAGAGGGAAAACTCTGCAGGTGGATTTCACAGGACTGCCCCTCTCAGGTCTCCGTTTTAATGTCAGCACCACAGAACACCTTCAGAGACACTGGTGGGTGCACCGTGCCCATAGGGAACGCCAATAACCAACCAGCTTTGGTGCTGCCGAGTTGGCTACTCGGTCACAGGAGGCACGAGTGCCCCCAACATGAAGGCTGCCCACGTAGCCCCTGGCCAATCAGACGTGCACAAAATCCCTGTTTTGGGAGCTACACGGGAAGAAAATCCCTCTGCTCTCCTCTCCATGCACTGCATGAAGAGCCACACAGCGTGGATCCACCAGCAGGAGCAAGGACGGGGACCCACCCGCTGCTCCTTCAGCTCCACCTGGCACAGAGGTCACGGAATAAAGTGTTTTATTAAGATCACCTGCAAGTTTGTTGCAGTCACCAGAGGTGTCCACGTTCCTACGGCAGGGACRGTCCTTACTGCAGAGGTATGGCCTGGAAGGTACATTTACCTTGCTCCAAAGTCACCCAGTGCTCTAGGCTCCACACAACGAGCAGGGACAAGCACATAGCACGGCAGTAACTCAAAGCACAGCATTTCAAGCAGTGCCCACATGCCAATGCAGAAAGCTAATGCAGTTCTCAAAAGAAATTAAAGACATAGAGATTTGAAAAAAAATGGAAGAAAAAGACAGTTTTAATGTTAGCACATGAAGAGCGCAGCTGCAGCAGGGCCAGGGTTAAGCCAAGGTTCAAACTGCAGCATGCAGAGCAAGCAAGGCAGTTCACAGGCAGCTACGAGTGTCCTGCAGCCTCCTGTGCTTTGARAACCTGAGCCACGAGCCAGAGCTGCCTTTCACCAACATGAGCGTGCTGCAGCGTGGCTACAAGCTGGTCAGCTCAACGGGGTGGCAAAACGTTTTTTTTTGGCCAGGGCCCATTACCAAAGAGAACTCCCAGTGATCTTGAGGAGCGTAATTCCTTTCAGAGAAGCCCTAAACACAACAAGCTGCCGAAGCAGCTTTAAGCAAGACAGAGGAGCACATGCAGCCACCCAGTCTGCGAGAAGAGAGRGGGCCCTGTGACCAACCTGACCGACGCGTCTGGTTATCGGACAGCAGCACAAGGCTCCCCAACCCGCCTCAGCCCGGGAGCTCTCCTGCTACCGTGAAGGCAACTGATAAAACTGACACAGAACTGAGAGCAGAGGGAGCGGGAAGAGCAACGGTTCCCACAGAGCACTTATCACCACTTAAATAACCTGCTCCCAATGAAGCCATGAGAACTCCGAGGTTCTTCCGACAAAAACCAGAAGCAGAGACGCAAGTGGAAAATGTTGAGAAATGGCATCTCCAGACAACAGCAATCCACAGACCCAGTCACAGGGTTTTGTTTTTGTTCTTTTTAGTTCTGCAGTACAGAAATTATACAACTTGTCTGTGAAAATCTTAGAGCTCCCCGTTTCAATTCTGGTACTAGTATCATATATTTGTTTTTAATTTGTTTTAATAGGAACTAAAAATTCAGAAGTTTTATAAGTCTTCAGTGCCCTGCTATATGAATATTCAGGGCTAAAAACATTTTGCATGTAGTTAGCCAAATACATTTGTAGTATGTAAAAAATTCACATAAGCAACAAAAACAGCTATAAAGTAGTTTAAATTTAAATCCATGCACAATTTTAAGGTGGATTTTTACTGAGCAGCCTTTGAGAATATACTGCAGCCTAAGTTAACACTTTCTTTTTTTTTTTTTGGCAAATACTTTCTAATGCTTCATTTAAAATACCCCAAATATGCAATTATTAAAGCTGCATTCACTAGTTACATAACTACATTTTAAAAGGTGGTATTATTCAGCCTCTCCCTCCCAAAAGATACTTGAAGGCACTAGTATACGAACTATTTGCCTGCACCGTGTAAGAGAGCCAAGAGGCTCTACATAGTGTCTGAAACTTCTGTTTCTTCTCCGCACTCTTGAAGAGCTTCGGGCACCTTATCCTGCCCCGAGCTCTATGAACAAACAAAAAACAAATCCCAAAGCAAATATCCAGTTCGAGTCCTGTGGGAACCTCCCTCGCTGAGCCTCAACTTGGACTGAACTGTCACGGCCAAGTTATAAACCCCTGAAAATAGGGGAGGAAGGGAGAAAACCCAAAACCGACAGAATCCTAACTATAGGAGCACCGTTTGTGCCACTATAATAAGAACTGAGGTAACAGCAGTGAGTTGTTTCTAGCTTGCTAGGTTACACAGACTTTCAAATCAAATATTACCTCAACGTTAAAAAAACCCAAACCAAAAAACCTCACAACAAAGCAGACCCCACAAAACAGAAGAAAAATTAAGACAAGCTAGTGAGATAGGCGTTATTCAAGGAGCTTTTTATAACTGACTTCTGCTTTTTAAATTAATATAAAGGAATCAGTTTCTGGTTGTACTATTGTTTAATGTAGAAACGAAGCATCACAAAAAAAGACCTGTTGTGCTTTTTGGCATTTTCCGCTGACCCCTGCAAACTGTACAAGAAGTTGTGTTCTCCAGAAACATAAAATTGAACTGGATTGTAATACAAAACTATCAGCCGGTATAAACAAGTTACTGCCTCAATTATTAGAATAAGCCCATTCAAAAAGGAAAAGATGGCTGCAGCAAATACTTAAGCATTTCTAGTTTTTGCTTGTGGCATTGACATTAATATCCGTAGAAGCTTACTAGTTAAAGACATGCCATCGCAACTGCTAAAGAACGTTCACTTCCTAGTTCTGTATCTATTACATGAATATAATTTTGCACTGATCATACATCTAAATGAAACAGTTCTACTGTAAAAGTGAATGCAGGGGCAGAAATATTAAATTAAAGCCACTGGTCCAAAACTTTTTCTAGCAGGCTGGTCCACTTCGGGTTTTCCTGGTCCTGTTTTGAAGATTAGCACTCTTGGTTGGTACCAAAGAAAACTAAGATTGCTGGTCTACYGGATCTTCTATCACTTACAGATGAACACTGGTCCAGTTCAGGAGTTTAAAAACAACATACGGTGATTACTTGCTTAGCAATCTATTGTGGTTCACAGAGTATGTTGCTTTCCAAAGTGGTTCTGTGCCACTTTTCTTCATAAGGCAGCAGCCAAGGCTAGGGCATTCTCCCTTTTCTTAAATGTTTGTGGTGAACTCTGCTACAATGCATACAGTAGAAAGACCTTCCTTGCRTAACTTCTTACAGGACAGCACGTATTCTTTCTATTTGTCAGAAGAAAGCTCTCGATGAAACCTTCCATTCATAACAAGCAAGCAACTCTTTTGGACTCAAACGGTTTTATTTAATGTTTTCTTGCAGACTTCCTGCAAAGTAGCTTCTTTTGAAAGGAGAGAAAGAGAGAACGGGCTTGCCGGAATACCAAGTTCAAAATCTGAGCCGAGCTAAACATGCCATACACATGCTGATAAGAATTTAACACACATTCATCCGTATGGGCACTCTTCAGCAGACTGGACCAGTGTTTCAATGCAAATTCCAGCCCCCAGAGAACTACATGGTTTAGATTTCACAGTATGACTTTCCCCTGTAATCTGGGGAAAAACAAAACAAAACAAAAAACCCTTAACTGGTTAATTGACCAAGTTCCTTAGCTACTCTGTCCATCAACGTTCTGAGACATGAGAAAAGACTGGACCACTTCTTCAGTGGACTGAGGGCTGGTGCTTACGTCCTCCAGGGCATCTGTAACCGAGAACTGCCGATCCCGCAACCGGTTCCAATTGGCCAAAATATTGTGGTACTCAAAAACTTTCTCATAATTGCCAATGGAATTGTACAGTTTAATGAGACCTCTGTAATCATATTCAAGTCCACTGTATCCTTCACCAAAAAGCTTCTTTCCTAAAGAAATCCAAAAGACATCAGAATGAAAAGCTAATCCACTCAAAACATTGAACTTTTTCTCATACCATTTTATGTGTGCAGTTAGCACAGCCATCACCTTTTTGTACTGGAGAATAATAATAATAACAATAAAAATAATAATAAAAAGACCATAGGAACAACACACAAGTTTTCTGGATCAATTTATGTCAGCCTTTTCCTTCATTTTCACATAGCATCTACCAGTGTCATAAACAGGACAACTATGTCCTAATTTCAGTCCAAGCTCAGATTTAAGCACTGGTGCTGGTTTTCCTTTCCTTGCTTTCCAATTACATATTTTACTGTAATAAATCATATATGCAAACTGTACAAACCAAGATTGCCTTAAAACTGAGCCACAGCATTGCCCAGRGATGCATTTAATTTGCTTTGATAGGCTCACTGTTAGTGACAAATGTTCAAGAAAATTTTTTGACTATAAGGCTGACAGACACAACAATTTATTTCAAAAGGCAATTACACCCTGAACTTAAGGCCCAGATAGTTGTTACACTTTGGAGTTCTAACACCCAAGCTTTTAATAATTCATTTTTTTCCCCCTCAATCTTTTGAAGGGTCAGAGTGAGCAGATTCTGATGAAGCACTAAAAATAACACAGTTCTAGAATTCAAGCCCTAGCAGAATTTTCAAGAAAAATAATTATCTTTAGAATCAACCCGCATGCAAATAAACATGTTGCATTTAACTAAGTGATTTATTAAAAGCCTTTAGTTTCCTGCAATGTCAGGACAGCAACACAGCATGTATTTTAAGTACCACTTACCAATAGCTATGGATCTCAAATAAAGCTTCTCAGCATTTTCATATTGATTCATATCGTAGTTATATAGAGAAGCTAGATGTCCCACTGACAGGGCAACCTCATAGTCCTCTTGACCCAGAAGCTGCTCCTTAATCTGAATTGCTTTGATGTGCATTTCTTCTGCTTCCTGTAAGAAACAAGTTCATACGGGTCAGYCACAGACATCATCATGCCATAAAAAGTAGCAAGTTAGAAAAATGTAAGATTTCAGGAAAAGTAACTATGCAGTGGCTAAGTAGTCCACAGCATTTTATAAAATAAACAATAATATAGTAGGAAAAGCAAAAACAGGTTTCCCCAARTTCTTACTCACATTTACAATACATAATCCTACCTTAAACTTTCTCATGGACTGATACAGTCTCCCAAGGTTGCCATAGTGTTTTGCTGTCTGTACGTTAAATTCCCCAAATGCTTTCTTAGCTAACTGGAGTGAGGACAGATGCAAGTCATGAGCTTCTTGAAGTAATCTCTGCTCAGTTTCCTTGTTGTGACAGTCTATTGCAATCTCCTCCAGGATAAGTGCTGAATACAGGACAGGAAGAAAAAACACTTTACTATGTTCTAAACGCAGAGAGATGTTAACTGTAGGCAGCGGAAAGCCATCTACCTAAGGCCTCTTGGAAGAGGCCTGACCAGGCTTTCTTTCCAAGAGCTTGTAGAAAGGTATGACCAGATATCTAATTACCAACACTTTCATATTWAATATTTTTACCTCTTCTTTTCCTCCTTTATTCAAAAAAGTTTCCAACTAACTTTAAATTTTTCTTTATATTTTACAAGAAGCGTTGACAAAAAACATTGAAGACTAGAATGTATTCTCGTGTGAGCTGTTTGACACAGAAATAAAAAAAGTTACATTATCTCTGCTAGGAACATAACATATCTGAATGACTGATGTCCAACAATAAAATATTAAAATGTCTCAGCAATAAAGCACACTACCTTTAACCCTCTTTGAAGACGCCAAGAGAAGATGGTCTTCTGGGAGAATGTGAGTTATAATGCCAATAGCACGTTCAGCATGGAATCTGAAAGAGTTCAAGTGTACAYGTGAGGATTTAAATTATCAGCAAATAAGCAAATGCACTTCAATTCTAATAGGAAAATTTACATTAAATAAGAAGTGTTCTTAAAGAACTATATTAGTTGCCAGTCTCTCAAACAATAGTACTCACAGTGCATTGTCAAATTTTCCAGAGCTGTACTGGTGAACATAAGAAGAATAAGCCAAGTCTTCGTGAGCTGTGGCTACATGTATGTTTTTACCTCCAAATACTGACTGCCGGATATCAAGAGCTGTCTGAAAGTGTTAAAAGCAAACAATTTTATCAATACAGAAAACAAGCTAGAGAACTCCACCCCTGGAGAGAAGGAAAAAAAAAACACCACTCTTACTATTATAAATGAAAGCAAACAAACCCCACCCTACTGGTTAGTCCCTATCTTCAGAATACTTACAAGCCATAAATGCATAAAAGCTACTTTAGAATCAGGGAAGAAAATCAATCAAGCCTCAAATATTTTTAAGCCACAAGCTTTGCAGCAATTAAAGTCAACTACTGATTAACTTGAGTAAGTAGCAAGTTAAAATAGAAATAGTTGATATACTACCAATATGAGAAATTGAAGACATTTAGCCTTACTGCATACCTGGTAGATCGCAACAGATTGACATATATTGTCTACGTTGAGCAAGTAGAATCCATAGTCTAGTAGTGTATCAGAATATTTGGGGTGTTTGGCTCCGAAATGCTCCCTGTTGAAACAGACTTCCATTACAATTTGAGGCAAGTTACACTTAAACTTAAGAAGAAATTTYGGGGAGTGCTACTTACCGGGCAAGATATACTGCATGTTTTATCAGCTGTTCAGCCTTTTTAAACTCACGTTTTACAACACAAGCCTAAATGGGAAAATAAAGGTTTGTATTCAAATGTGCCCCCACCAGATATTGGCCCAAATACGAAGTATTATTATGTTCTGAAATTAAGAGTAATGGTTAWTCTAAAGGACTCTTCAATTATTCAAGGGAAAGGCTCAGAGGTGCTGTATGTCATYAACTAAAGGTAGAGCACTTGACCTAGTCTAGCTCAAAGAGGGGAACAGACAACCTCCATACAGAACATTAACTTTATTAGGATGGTCCTTCCAGTAGCTGTAACTCCCTTTTGGGAGACGAAAAAAACAAACCAAAACCACTAGCACAAGACAGAGGTGGACCAAACAGACAAATAGGAAGCATAAGGGTCATTAAAAAGCGGCTTATCCAAGAGTTCTGGAAGCATTTCCTAGGCTCACTTATTCTTGATAGTAATTTTGTTACAAAATAAAGACTTCAGACTCACCTTTGAAGCTTGCCGTAAAACATCCACTACTACTTTTACAGGCAGACCAACTGTGATCTCCTTCATAGCTTCTATACACCATTTATAAGCCTTTGGAACAAAGAGTTACCCACAAAATTAAAGTTAAAACTTCACTGTGTTGCAATATTAACAAAAATACTACCTGGCTACCTTACAACTCCTAYTGGGCAGTACAGCTTCCTGGCCAGTATATTTAGGAGCTAAATGAAAACTACAGCTCACACAGCAGTTATAATGCAGCCTCAGTTTATACAGAACAGCTACAAGAACGCTATTTCTGTTCTGCTTTTCATTTTTAAAAGAGKTTAAAATTTAAAACCTACTTTTAAAAAATCTATCTTCTGAAATATTTTAGAGATAATAAAAAACACTATCCATCTATATTGAACAAGATTTAGAAATGACGCAAGTACTGTTACATGTTTAACTCCAATCAGCAAGTAAATACAAGTCAATAATCAAGTACTCCTCTGGTAGTGTCACAGAGGTACCAATAGAAAGATCAGGAATACAATCTAGAAAGTTGCACTGAATAATGAGAGAGTCATGAAACCTCCCAGCAAATTTCATCACCGGTTTCCTGAAGAAAAACAAAACCAAACTAATGCTACTCACCTCATCGTAGTGACTTTTGGCAAAAAGCAGTGCGCACAGCTCCCCGTAGAGTGCTGCTTTGTTTGCTTGCTGACCGTGTTTTGCAAGCTTGTCCATGTAAGACTGAGCTAGTTTAAATGTTTCTTCTCCCAAGTGATATTTACAGTTCCCATTTCGAACATGCAGCAACCTTAGAAACACATAAGGAGAGCAATTTTGGCTTCCAGAGTCTATTTAAAACAAAAGATGCACGCGTGTGCACGTGTGTCTTGCCCCTCCAGAAAATGTGCTATTAGACAATGAATATAGATCAATAAACACCAGGAAAACCTTTGCAAATCAGTAGGACAACACAAGAGAGGAGGAGAAAGGTACAGAGTGAAGCAGAAGTTACAATGAAAACAAGGACTAAATATTTGAAACTGTAACCTAATGCACACCACTTAATCCCTTTTGTGATACTTCATGAAACATACTCAAAAAAAGAGGGAGCAAAAGGAACAATGAGTTTGACTGAATAGTTCTCTAAACCAAAATTTCTGTTATCATTTCAGCAGAGATTTTGAAATTGCTGTAGTTACGTTTCCTGCAGCTGCAAGAAAAAACRGCTAAATCTGTTGTAAACATAGTCTCTAATGCAGCTTCTTCCTATATCTTCTCATCATGAACACCTCAAATATTAACATGAAAAGAAATCAAGCTCACACTTTCACAAGAGTGGTGTGGCAGTCGAACACACAGATGTAAACTAGCCCTGYAAAAACAGCAAACAAGGCCTTTAAGAAAGAAACAAGCCAAACACACCAGCTTTCCAACAACCAGATTCAAGAATAGAAAGAAAAATGACGACCATTTTTTCTGTGGAAAAACTGGGCAGAAAGAAATGTGATTGAGAACTGAATRTGATGCAGAAATGCTAAAGATTGAAATCTTGGTTGCAGGCAAAAAACAACATCGAACTTTCAAGTAATAAGAGACAGGAATATTAAAGATGCTACAGAGATCAAGCAATCAGTTATTGCTTCCCAGGAGAGGGAAGCACTATTCTGACTAGGGCATTCTCTTKGGAGCTGCTACGCAGCATGAAAAATACTCAGTCTAAGTCACAAGGAACAATGTAAACTAATAGGAATAGTACTGCAAGTTAGATAAGCACTTGGAAAAGATAATACCCAACATCTGGATGCTTCAGATGTTTATTGAAAACAAAGGAAAAAAACCCACCAAGCTAAACCTAACACAATCCTCYATGCAAGTTGAAATTTTGTTATTTGATTTTAAGTAATCCCTTATTAAGCCAAAGAAATTCTGAAAGATAAAGTCAAGAGCTAGAATAAAGGCCTCAGGACATTTATGCTAATCACTGTGCATGCTCTTTGATGTCTGCAATACTAGCCTTTCAGGGGTAGCTTTTTCTTTTTCTTTCAAAATAAATTAATTCCATAAAAGCATATAAATATACCAACCACACATTGCACATCACCTCAGGAAGACTAAAAACAGAACATATACACAAGAAAAAGATAGTGTTGCAGAGAAARAAATCTCAGAATTTTACATTCTCTTGTACATTCCTATAATTTATTAATACTAGTGCTACAAAGAAAATACAAGCTATCTTAAAAAAACATGAAATTGTCTTTCCTCTTTTTTAAACTGCAACCTATTAATAATACCTGTGAAAAGACTAAATTTTTAAGTTTCAGTCAGAACCTCTGTGCTGTGTTCAGGTTACTTCTGTTTCTATTGTTTTTRATTAAAAAGAATAGCTTCAAGCCTAGCAAAATTCACTAGATTTGTCAGTCTTAAATACTGACTGCAACTAATATCCATTTTGAAACAAAGCTTCCTTTTCTCCTTACCACCATAATGCTAATACTCATCTTGTATTAAGAAGATTGTCTTTAGCTATAGTAGGACTAACACCCAGAAAACTTGGGAGTTGATTTCAGTGCATGAGTGATTCTTAGGATGCAGCACATACAGCTGGTATAAGGTAACTAAGGGAAGAAACACAGGAAGAMACATATGCTCACATTACAAACAGAAATTTGATCTTCAAAGTGTAAATACCTTGCCACATTAGCTATTATTTCTCCTTTCATTACCTGTACTAAAATGATCTTTCAGTTTCTATAGTTTTGGCTTTTTTTTTTTTTTATTCTTTACTTCTTACAGCATTTCTATGTATTTATTTGCCTATTAACAGTTACATATGTTTGAAAAGCTAAGACAAAAACCARATCTTAAGAATCCCTGCATGCTTACCAACTATTAACTTTCTTGCAGCCTCTGTACTCTAGTTTAGAAATGTGATTTTGAGACTGCCTTATTTTCAAAATCTGGACTTAAATTTTGTTCACTTAAAATTCCATTTCCAACACAAACGCAATGGTAAGAACAGGATATTCTGCTGCAGAGATTAGAGGATCAAAACAAAAAGTTTATCTTACTGCCTTGTGACTTTGAAGCTGAGAAAATTACTGCTCTCCCCACAAAAGGGTTTCAGAATTTACATATTTAGCACTTGTGAAAGTGYTCCACATTCCTTCCACTTAATATGTTTCCAACTGAACTACACTGTCATTTGACTGTCTATGAGATGCCTGACTGTACAGTAGTGTCTCCTCGTTCACACTACTGCCTGGAGGGATTCGATATTATATGCAGGCCATCAGCTCTCATTACAGGAACAATGGGCGTCTCTGCACAGGCAGAATTAACAGCTACAGCTCAGGGGAGCTCACTCCAACTTTTTTTTTTTTTCCCCTCTCCTTAGCACAAAATGGAAGTATTCTTTCCACAACTTAGGGGCTGTAATATTCCTGCCCAAAGAAAAAGTTTACCTAGGGCTAAAACCATTTATTTTCCCCTATATTTGGGGAAGAAGAGGGAGTTGATCTTTTAAGGTAATTTTTTCTCGCCAGACAAACCAATACAACATGGAAATTCTCTTTAGACCAGTAAGAAGGCAAACATCATCGTCTCACTAAATAAAGATGCTATTTGTCTCCATAATYCACCAATAGATTCAGATCATCCTCTTGCAGAGAAAAACTAGATGGCAATTCCTAAATTCATTCCCCATAAAAGCTAAAGAAATAGCAACCTTATTCACAAGAAGTAAGAGATAACAGTAAGTTTGCAGGTGACCCTAACAATCCCAGCACTAAGCTGGGAAGAAACAAAGCATGAGAACATAATATGACAGAAGCCAGGGAAAAAATCCTTTATTAGTTATTTTCTTATTTATGGCAGGAAAGTGAGTGGCAGCCGACAGAGCAGTAGCTGTTGCCATGGCCCTCTGGTTGGCACATAAGGSAAGTAGCTTTTGGCAAAGGCCAGTTGATTTTCCTATTTGTCCAACCATAAAAAGCAGTTCAAAAGCATTTGCAGCAATTTTCCAAGATAAGTTTTGCCCTCTGTTCAAATAAATACTTGATGTACTTGGTCATTTATTAGCACAGATTAAAACAAGCAAATCATATTTTAATTATGCCCACTAATACTGGGGTGCTCAAGCACACACTTGCAGCACGCAAAGGGCAGTTGCAGCACTACCAGCAGAATCTACTCGGGTACCTGCTGCAGACTGTCAGTGCAACCCTCGTGTGGATACACAGCTGCAACATTAACAGCTTCGATAGCTCAGCAAAGAAGTCATGCACAAGCCTGATTCGACAAATCTCTCCTTATCTGGGAAAAGCTTATTCCTTAGGCCTTACAATAAGCACATCTTTGGTTTTTGAACTGTTTCCTTGTCTTCTATTGATGGAGCTTCCCAAACCTTCTGGCACTTTGGCTGACCAAATTCTCCCACCTTCTAAAGATCAGATTTTCATAGATGAAGTTGTGGCATTTTCAAAGAGTTTAAATACTGCATCAGTTCAGCTTTCCTAGGTTGTAGGATAGGTGATTTTAAAAAGCACCGTTTTGTTGTTAGCTTTCGATCATAAAATCTAGTTCCTGTTCTTCAAACACAATARGGATATTACACAAGATCAATTGGCTGCAGCAGGTATAAAAGTCAAAAACAAAAAACAGATTCCAAGTTGTGGATCTTTGAAGGTGTCCACAAGAAGTGGACATCTGAACATTTACCTACGTAGCTCAGCAAAGAGCAAGAGAACTCTTTGAGTCTGGTTTCAGGAAAAGTATGCTTTCCCTTTCTGTTGCAGTTCTGCACACCTGTATCATTTGCAAACATATTTGGACTCAGCAAGACTGCTTTTATTAAATGTCATCTCAGCAAACCTCAACACATGACACCTCTTCAAGTGCAAAAAGCCTTGAAGGCAGCGATACTGGATCACCTTCACCGTCTAGCACCTACTGCACTGTAGAGAAGGCAAAATTTTCACACTGTGCTGACAATTTACAAGCAAGAAATCCAAAAAACTTGTAAAAGGAAACACTTAGGATCTTCAGCAATAGCCAGGAAAGTTCTCTGGTGCCCCTGAATACTGAGACATGCATTAATCAGTATTTCACATCAGGATGTATGGGAATCACCAGGCAGCTCACCTTACACAGCATTCTACTGCGCGAAACCAGTGGAGTATTTCATCATGAAGGGTGCATAACTGAAGGCAGGAAAGAAAGACCTTCTCAGCATCACTATACCATCCTGCATCTGATAGGAAGCCGCCTGGAAATCCAAGAACAGAATTTTGAGCAGMAATATACTATTTTAAGAGAACAGCAACTTACTCAAAGCTTTTGAAAGGAGCACTTATCTGACATTTCACTGCAAATAAAGATAAAAGAACAGGAATATGTGAATTCACTATGTCCTATGCTAAAACACAGAAAGTCATTGTCAAGCAACTTGAAGAGGGGAGAACAAAAAAAAAAAAAAAACACAACAAAAAAGAGGCTTGCACAAAAAAGTGTAATACTTAATAGTCTCTCATTCCCAGTTACCTAAAACAAAGCCAATCTGGATTGCTTTTTCTTTTACAGCAGAATCGGATTCTGCTATGTATGAGCACCGTCTACTGAACGAATAGGCCAATACAGAAGCAACTTTAACTCCATGGTCCATCAAAGCTTGAAAACAATGATGAAGCAGATGTCTGAAAAATAGAAAAAAGATATTAAAAAAGGTTATATATAAAAATTTTAAAACATTCCTATCAGTTGACTCAAGTACCATGAATTCAAGCAAGCAGTGAATCAGAAAGAACTCCAAATCTCTCCCAAACCAAAACCAGATGAATACAAGCGTAACTGTCAAACTCAAGGCTAATGGATTTCAGTTGCTAAACCTTCCAACACATAAGTGACTGTACACATAGTTCTTTACAAGCACATCCTCCAGTGGAAGCAAAAGGCAAACAATGCACACATTATTATAAGTGGAACACAACATTGTCAGTTAAAATGTTAGGAGAAAAAGCATCAGGTTTAGCCTTATCCTACAACTCCCAAAGACGCAGCAGATAAACGAGTAGGGAGGTACCCATTAAGGGCAGGAATGCTAAAACTTGAAACTACCAAGGAAAAGTCTAAGGGAACCAAGTACCTTGGCATATTTATCTATAAAATTTCAAAACTCTAACTCAAAGGAGTAAGAGTTGAAATGAGAATTATGAATATGTTAAAATACTTACCTTTTATCTAAAGCTCGCAGCACCTTAGCAAAAACTTCTAGTTCACAAAATTCACTACCCAGCTGGCATAAGCGGCCCTGTTGGTAGAGCTGGAAAAAAAAATTAAATAAATGCATTTAAAAACTTGATACTAACAAACCCAAACAATTTCCCCCMCACACACAAACACACACACACCAACACCCACAGTTAAATATCTGCATTAGCTCTGACCCCATTAACACTTGAGCTTGCAAGAGCAATTCCTGCTTGAGCAAATGCGAAAACTCAGATGAATTTGTTTGTACATTTATTAAAAGCAATAGCTAGTTTCGTGCCCAGAGTGATTTGTATCTGCAGTTAAGCAAATATATTACATCATTTGGTTTGCTCACAAAAAGAAATGGTGGAGAGTCCTGAATGCAAAACACAGCTAAGCTGCAGAACTCTGCCACGTGATAGCATAAATTCAAAGACAATAGATAAAAAATATATGTCAAAAAAGTCCATTATGGCATATTAAATCTTGACCTTGGAGCTGYATCTTGAAGTCTGACAAGGTACAACATCAGATTACGTGGAACACAAGACTGTTTTAGACACCTATTTTATTTCAGGTGTTTTGTTTTATGTGTTTAAAAGAAACAAGCCCTTGTCAATAGTGCTTTCCAGATTGTATTTTTCTCTCTCAAAGCAAGATCACCATTATAAACTCCAGTGGAACAGAGACATTGTTTCCAAAGGAAAATGGACACTGTGGATGCTGTTTTTTCCCTCTTGCGAGGTAGTAGCTCCCTGGGGAGCAACCAGCAGGATGTGGTGCCTCTCACAGGGAGTTRAAGCCATTCAAACACAGTGGCCAGGATCAGCATTTTCATAGCAGCAGTAAGACATACTGTGCTACCTGAGCAGGTTTTACAGCTATGAGCAACTTCCAAATTAGAAGTGTGACTATCGTTTTTTAAAAACGAAGAAAAACASTAAGTGAGGGCCAAGAGAGGAAAGCGTTATTTGCTTAAGGAAATGCTTAAGGATAAAAAAAATCCCTTTAATGAAAACTTCAATAAAATATTCTTCTCAAGAGTCTCAAATAGATCTCAAATTGATAGTCTCAAATTGATAAGAATTGCAACACACATCTTGCATCTTTTTCTCTTCCTTATCTGACTCGCAGGAGTTGGACCAAGTGAGATTCAAAACCAAGCATGCAAGAACTTCCTTTCTGTACAGATTTTTTTTTGTTCAATTGCTCTTATAAAAGCACATGACACTGATTTTACATCACAGTAGGTTTATTATTTTAAAGAGAGAATCTAAAAGAAATCTTCCAAAATACTTTGACCTAATAATGTCAACTGCAAGAAAAGAATGCTCTGATTTTAGTCATCTACTTTACCAGAAAAAGAAAAAAATGAAGCCCTTTAAAGCACGAAGCAAGTCTGCATACATAGTTATTCTTCAGATAAAATGGTGCCTTGTCCCTGCACTTCAAAAGATCAAAAATTTCTTCTGAAGTTATATCCTCCCTGATAGCAAAAGAACAGCCAGTCCACTTTCTTTTAAAATTGGAAAAAAAAAACACCCTATTGTTATGCTAACTGCTCTCATTTTCTTCAACAGAACTGCCTAAAGACAATAATTTTAGAAGTCCCAAGATATTTTCTGGAAGGAGGAAAAAAAAAGCAAAAAAAAAAAACACACAACATACCACAAACACCCAAAACCTAGTATTAACCGACGAGTTAACCTGTGAAAGAAACTACAGCATATACTCATATTACCAGCAGTTAAATCAGAAGTACTATCATATAAGCAATATTTAAATATTCAATTAAGTACATTAATACTTTCCCTTATCTTGCAGAACTACTGTGATACTAGTTTACCAAATACTACCTGTAAGAAGACATTTCAGAATTAATGTTACTTACRAAGTTAAACTTGCTTTCTAAGTATCCACTGTTACATGACATTTTTAAATTGCTAATGAATCTTCAGTGCTAATGAGTGTCCGTGTATGGGGGGGAACAACAACAAAACACAGAAMTAAGGCAACACCCCTCAATAGAAAAATATAGACATACTGATTTTAATATAGAAATAATTAAGAACCCTGTAGAACTTGATTCAAGGCCTYACAGACCTGGCTGAAATCTGCAAATCTGTCTTTCTATTTCAGAGGTAAACACTTGCCCCATTCTAGCATGCAAAAAATCTACTTCCCCCCACACTGGTATAACCAGAAATACCGAATCCTTTGGATATTTACCRCACTATTCACCCCTTCCCTCCACATCCTGGCAGACAATTTTATGGAAACAGCACCACTTAAAGTCTCTTGAAACTGTTGTAGCTGTTACAGCAAGATTTTTCAAACAATCAGACATGGAAATAGTGAGTAGATGTCAAACCATGAAGCAATTCCAGGAGATTCAGTAACGTTCATTTGTTCATTGAGAAGCAGTTGCAAGTACTTAAGAAATGGTTCTTGTTAAAGTTCCAGAGAGACAAAATTCCTGACCACAAGCATTGCTACATAACATGAAAAACAAAACAGAACAGCGATTCAAGAAAAACATCCCCTGACTAGAATGGTGGAGGTCTGGACTTCTGAAGTGACAGTCGCTTCTTAGGAATAAATGAATACAATATTGTAAGTTGGTGTCTAAAAGGTAAGTTCAGTGGAGATTTTTAATGCTATAGAAAACCGAGTATGAGCCTAGGATATTACTTACAGCTTATATGTTACTGAAACACTAGTTCTGGCCCTGAACACATGAATCAAAGTATAATCTTAATACAGTGGCTTATGTTGGGTCTCTCCATGAGTGAAATACTGTGTTCAATTTAGAAAGGTCTGTATATTTCATTAACAAAAGCACTACTTGGGGGGGTGGRTGTGTGTGTGTGTGGGGGGGTGTATACAGCTGTGACCACAATCTCCTTTCTCTGCTTAAGAGGGCGGGGAAAGGAATTCTCAAGAGTAAATGCATAGAACCAAGCCCTTGATGAATGACACATTAGAGAGAAAAATAAGAGACCTTATTAATGAATGGTATCAAAATATTAAAACAAAATCCTATTCCATCCTTCCCCACATTAACAAGTTTAGAAAGTAATTCAATGAAATATATAATATATTTTTTTTTCCTAAATGCATCTCAAAACCATCTGCTAAGTTTCTGAAGAAGCGCTAATTTTTCTTGGGTTGTATCAGAAATGATTTAGGGCATAAAATAAGTCAATTCCATAGCTAAACTTACTTGAAAATATATTTACAGTTACAAGAAGGTCCTCAAGCTAAAAATAAACGAACAACAACAAAACAAACTTACTGAATAAGCCTATTTTCACTAACTTTTGAAGCCTACTTCTTCAGACACATAGCAGCACGCTTCTCCATGCCTCACTGAACTTCCCTTCTCAACATTAATAGCAACTGCAGAAACCAATGCCTTTTTAACTGCACCTACAGAGCATCCAGTACAGGGGATACAAAAATCTGAACTCTATGCAGCCTGGAAACAAATAGAGAAAACTCTTTTCTTAGAGATGTTAGGTATCTCACCTCTACCGATGGTATGAGCAAAAATCCCATAAAACATGACCTGCTAATTCTGGATTTTTGCATCCCTCAAGAAACACTGCTTGTTTATGACCTTATTCATTTTCCTCTGGCCAGAAAACCTCAAAACCAAAGAGCAACTACACTGCCTATCACAGGTAGCTTACTCCTTCCTCCCTTGTCAAGTACTGAGGGGTGAGAGGCCTTGGGACAAGACAAATTTATTCTAATTTCAGGGAAAAGATGCCTTTAAAGACTCTTGATCAGTAAAAACAATCTGCACTGCAGAGAATATTGTATTGMTTGTTGTGAATAGTGTCAGCAAATTTCTGCTATTCATTTTGCTTTGTTAATAGAATAACTAGTTGTGATACAAGAGCTTTAGTCATGCTTATTTTGGGGGGGGATTAGCAGAATACAGTGAGGACACACAACATTGTGACTACACCAACTGTATAAACTTTGTAATCTAAATTCAGAGCCTGGTATTTGGATTCATATCATATTGTAAAATTTATCTAACATTCATCTAAGAAGGCATGATTATAGAATGAGTTTTGCTTTTGCCTAAAAATTGTAAATGTTTCCCTCTCCCTCCCCTCAAAGAACAAAGTTCACACAGAGCAATTACTAAAGGTTATAGTTCAGCACTGACTGATTGAAGCAGATTAATGTCATCTCCAGTTGCTTCTGTGCCTAGTGATTCCATAAGAAACTCTTCAAAGAACAGTGGAGCCAGGAGACTTTAAAGAAAAAAAATACAATGTAAGAAAGAAAAGAGTCACAATCCAGAAAAGATGTTCCAAGAGCAGCATAAACACTGGCTGAAACTCCATGTTATCCAGTACAAACCCAAGGATTACACTCATTAGCCTCCTGCTGTATGTGAAGCTCAACATTAAAAGTAACAAAGAAGCATCCTATCAAATGCAGAAGATAACTGAAGACATTTACATATTTCTTAGAACAATCATAAAATCTGGAAATTTCAGGATATCTGTACCAGTGTCACCTCTTATTTTCCTAATGTTTGCCAGGAAAACTCAAATGATGCTTGAAAATAACACATTACTGGACAGGTTTGTTTTACCATAGTCATGATTAATCAAAGCTAAAAGAGGTAATATCAAGAATTGTTTAGAAATGCTAAATAAAKAAGTATAAATATTCTTATCTAACTTATCTAGTTCTGTCACTTTTGTAAAGAACAYATTTCTTACCAAATCCACAAGAAGTAACATGCTGTGACTAACAGTACCAGGTGGGATTCCAACCTGAAGACTGAATGCACATGTTTATAAAACACACCCTAAAAGTTAACAAATCTAGACTCTGCAGAACTAAAAATGATTGGATTCAGTAAGGAATGGTAAATAAAGGCAACATACTATAAGAACAGAGCCAAACACTGGTATAGAGGGTACCCCAAGACTTTCTACTAGCTCTTTCCTCCCTTTTAACCAAAGGGTTATTGTTATGAAAAGGTGGCTATTTCCACTGCTCTGATAGTACCTTATCCTACCTACATCATCTCCATCCTTGTGGACAGGCTGGTACATCTGTTACCTACGGCTGAAACAACATTAAACTCCAGTACTCATACTGATTGATATATTAAAAAAAAAAAAAAAAGAAAAAAATCAACTAAACCCAACAAATATTCATACTATATATCAAAATAAATTTGCCCAATGCTTTGGCAATATGTGTGTTAGTTTCTCCAGTATCACGCTCTGAATAACACCTGGATAACAGGGCATTATTTGCAAGCTAGATATGAGAAAAGCGCAGTATTTTTATTCCTTTTAATAATCACAGAAAGAAAGTCTCCATCTTCTTTAAAATTCCAGGGAGAGCACATTCATACGAATCCTCCATCACATACCACCTTTCCTCAGCCATATTTCAAGATAGGTACTATTCTGTATGATRCTAACAGCTGACAACCTCTCAGTACAGCAACAGCAGCAATAAATACGTAGTCAGAACAAAGAGTCAGAGGTCTTCCGGCGGGTCTTCCTTTCAAGACTGTTAGTGACTTTGGAATTTCTATTTCTCCTTGAAAGAGCTTTACTGTCAGTACGTAACTATTATAAGCATCATTTCAGGCGGGCGACCTAGTATCTGCATCATTTTGAAAAATCCTTGTAATTATTTTTAGAATCAAAACAGTAAAATAAGCACCAGCACAATATAAATCTCTCATGTCCCAGACAACATCTCTGGGCAATCCTTTTTCCAACGTGATTCACCCGCGTTAGCTATATTGCTTTAGCTATCCAGATACTGAAATCAAGAACTAGCTACTGAGCGTTGTGTATATTAAAGATGCAAGCACCATCCCAGAAGATCTGCCATCTGAATACGACTGTTTAAGGTATTCATAGCAGGCAGACATCTCTGACTGTGGTATTCCATTTATTAAGGCCTGCATAGAGGGAGGTTTTTTTTAAGAATATAGCTGCATCTTACATACCTCAGATTCTCAAAGTTGATTTTTGTTATGGAGCACAGAAATAACAGGAAAGCCAATACCAATTATCATCRTCAACAAAAGTTAAAGCAGCTAAAAATTACCACAATAGAAACATTATTCTTGAAGATAGATACTCTGCATATTTGTTATCATCACCCAAAACAATGTATCACTGCACACAAGCAGAAGAAACAGATTAGAAAAGTCTCAAGTCTTTAGCCTTTCTTCAGAAGATATAGGTGGTTCCTCTTTATATTACAGAAAGGCTTGGAATTAAGCTGATTCAATGCAACCCTTGAAATGCAAGTCAATCATCTCTTAATATCATTCATGGATGAGTTTAAATACTTTGTGTACAATATATATCTTGGCATTTCTTTCATTAGAAGAGCTCTCTTGTAATGCTTGTAAAGAAGTSCAGGAGCAGGACACTTATCTGAATAAGTATCAAGACAGAAAGAGCCAGAGAAGTCTCCTTGTCAACCACCATGCCACTTAATAKTTAAGGTATATTCACATACACCATTAGTGTCACACTCAAAGATTATCTAAAAACTGCCATATTCCAACTGTGTCACCTGCGAGCACGCTCACGTGCRGCAGGGAGGATTTTCCACGTTTCCCAGCACACAAGGCAGGCTATGTCTAGCACACAGGAGAAGGACTTGTCTCTTTCAACTTAGGAGGTGCAATTTCCCTGACTCTAGTGAAATGTTATTCCTGTATCACTGCACTAATATTGCATTCACACCCGAGGGCCAATACCTCTRGGGCATAGAGATTGACCTGACCAATATTTTATGCAGCACATCCTATATTTTTAGGTATTTTCTGATGGGGGAAAGGCTATCTTTTTTGTTATTTGTTTGTTTGTTTTGGGCTTTTCTGTATTTTTTTCTTTTTTTGCCCCCTTTCACATACTGTTTCCTTCCCAATGAATGCTCATTTTCATCTGCCGGATTCAGCGGACAATGGAAATTAATGGACCGTCACAGMGTCCCTTTAAACTCGGAGCATTTTAAAGGGGGGGCAGCAGAAGGCAAACATCACAGAGCGCCTTCAACATAACGGGCAGCATCATCTGTAGAGCCTCGGCTCTCCTCGTGCAGACCCCCCGAAAGGCACAAGGGCAAACTCGGTGCCTTCTACCGTGGACATCAGCCCTTCCAGCGGCACGGCGAAAATAAATAAATAAGCAGAATAAACRGGAAACCACCCTCCCTGCACGGTTAGCGGGGTCGCAGCCTGCGCTGCCGCCGCCGAGGAGGCTCCTCCGCGCTGCCCTCGAAGGACGGCGCCCTCCGGCAGCCCCCGGCCGCAGGGCCCCGAGCGGGCCCCGCTCGCGGCCTCCCCAGAGCCCCCCGAACCGCCGGGGCCTCGCGCTGCCCCGAGCCGCCGCGAGGCCTCCTCGGCCGCGGCCGCCTCACGCGGGGCCCGGAGGAGCGGCCTGGGGCTCCGCCGCCGCTTCGCCCTCCATCCCCGGGCAGGCCCGGCCCGCCGCCGCCTCGCCGTACCTTGTAGTAGACGTCGAACTGGATGTTCTCGGGCAGCGAGCGGATGTCGCGGCGCCGCGCCCGCCCGTAGCTGTCCACCACGGCCGAGATCGCCGTGTTATAGAGCGTCTCGGGCACCCACTCCAGCTCCACCGCCGCCATCTTGGGTGTGCGGAGCCGCCTTCCCTTCCCTTCCCTCCCCCGCGGCCGCTCCCGCCCGCGCGCGCCCCGCCCCCGTGCGCGCCCGCGCAGGGGGCCGCTCCGCGCACGGATGCGTGTTAATAGAGGGGGGGGGCGCGGGGGGAGGAAAGGGAAAAACAGCAGGGAATGAGGAATTATGAGGCTCTATCGCGGGAGGGGCTGAGAGGAAATGGCGCGCGGAGGGAGGTGGTCGCTGCTGTCGCGACAGGGCGGGCGGTGTCGCGATAGCGCGGGGGATATCGCGACAGGGCTGCTCCGCGTGCGCGTGGGGGTGTGTGTGTACGTGTCAACCCCCCGGTCACGCGCAGAGCCCCCCGCGCGTGGCCACGTGACCGCGGCGGCGTCGCCCCCCGCGCGGCGGCAGCCTGAGGTGAGCGCCGCTGCCGCCCCTCTCCTTCGCTAACCCTGAGGGGGCGAAACGGGTTAAAAAAGCCGTTTCCTGAGGTAAATAGTTATGCGGGAACGGGGCTGTGTCCCGCCCGCGTCTCCCTGGTTTCACGCGGCTGCTCCGCCGCCGTTTTCTCGCGGCTGGGGGTAGTTTGGCTGAAGTGATGGGGGTGGTTTGGGCTCAAACGAGCTCCCAYCCGTGATTTCTTAGCACCCCTGCTGCTTGGGGCCAGGTGTTGAAAACACCCTGGGTCAACATGACTCATCCTGATTGCTCTGACACGTGGCCTGAAGAAAACTTTTATCCCGAGCTACGTATTCCACTTTTATCAGGTGTTTTTTCTTGTTGGGGTTTGTTTTTGTCACAACCATGGGTTAAACACGTGCACTCTTAGACTTGTAACTATTACTAGGCGATATTTTTTTTCCTCTGTCAAGTTTTATTTGGATGAGCTTAGCTAATTTAAGGCTGCTGTTATCATTTACAGCTTTGTTTTGTTTTAAAATCTATAGGAGGCAGCCTGTTTTGCTGGGGACAGCTTTTAATAATATTAAAGGTGTTGTGTCTGTATGTCAGGACAAAGATATCATGGAATGGGAAGGAGTTGGGGTGAARCCATGGAAGATTCTTTTATTGATGAGTTTGATTTTGTATTTTCCAAGATTGAACACATGTGTCTGTTTTCTTTCTTCTCCCCCCCCCCTCGTTTTCACTTGAGGCAAAACAGCTGGTTTGTGTTGGCAATTAGCCCCCACCCAGAGACAGAGCCTATTTACCTCAGTTATTTACTACAGAGCTAGTTTGGAAAGTTGAAGAGTTGGAGGCCTATCAGGAGGGGGCAAGTAAGGGCAGCTCTGTGTTGTACAAAGGAAAGAATATTGATAAAACTAGGAAACTGGTAATTCTCAAATATTCTGTTGTCTTTTTTTCCTTTTGCTTTAAAATAAATCATTAATTGGATTTCTCAGAATACAAGCAAAATAATTATCTTTAAGGGAAATATGTTTTTTAAGACAATGYTGTGGCAGTGGACCTCAGCTTTTTGGAAAGCTGCTGTGCCTTGAAAAACTAACCAGAAGTCACCTTGCCCATTTTTTTAGTAGACCAAAGACTAGTGTGAATTTTGAAGGGGAAGTAATAAACATTTCTATGAAAGGAAGACATGGTAAAAACCTTCTCTGGAATCTATTATTGCATGCTCTGTGCATGATTCATTCTGATAGAGCCTGAAGAGTACTCTTTATGGCTAAAGTGATTCAATCCCTAAGTAGAAATAAAATTAAGATATGTCAGCTTTTGTTATTTATTAGTTCTGTGTGCTTTAATATCTTATATATATGGAGCAACTCAGCAGCCTTCTATTGTAAGTGCACGTTTTGTTCTTAAAAGCATTCTTATTAGAGACTTGGTGTAGTCCTTAATTTAATCTATCTGTTTAATGTTGCATTAGTAGATATCTATTTAAAGGAATATATAGTTAGTAGTCTACCACTTATAAAAGTCTGTTATCTTAAATGGTTAATTTTCCAAATACTTTTAGACTTAGAAGATATCTTCTTATTTTAGAGATTAATCCTTCATACTATACTACTAACTTATTAGCAACAGGTCGCCATTCAAAGATGACCTCTTCACATTCATAAATTATTTTAGTGCAATTGCTCATTAATAGTWGCAGATGTTAGAAACCTTTTCTGATTCCAGTACTTGTTGGCAGAGGTACTGATGTACTTTTTTTTTTTTTATCTTTGTTGATATCTTTTTCCTTTCTTTTGTCTTTTAATATGTATCTATGTGCATATAGGGAAACGTTTAAAAGGCATTTACAAATACTGTCTGCGTCTGAAAGCAAAATGATTATGTATGGTGTTTAGGCAAAAGCATTCAGCCTGTCTTCTGTAATCTTAGCTTTTGAAGATGCATCTGGGTATCTGAATTACTCGCATGTAAAGCATATGGAGTACAATGGGTCTATACATCTGTGTGTCATTGTAATGGGTATAGGATATAGACAAGCCTAATAATGGATAAATGTATATATTAAAAAAAAAAAATCTAATCATAGGCTTCTATTATGGAAATTGTCCTTGGAGATCAAACGAGCTCTTGATTGTCAAAGTTTCCTCTGTTGAATAAGTTCATATAGAAGAGATTTTACATCTTCAAAGAAAGACGGTTGGGTAATTTCAATAAGAATGTTTTCCTGGACCACATTACAAAAATCTCCCCAGAACCCTTAAGAAAAACTCCAACCAGTTATAGGTAYCAAATTAATCCCGAATAGCAGTGAATTGCAAAATTTCACCTCTGCTAGTGAACATTTCCAAGCCTGTATCTGACACCATAGTTTCGGGACTAAAAGTTCATTTTGCCTGCAAKTGTTGCTTCTGCTTTATGGGCTCTAACCTCTAACAATTTTTGACTGATTAGTAATCTGGAAACTGAAAACTTGTTTTGGGGAGTTTTGTTTGTATGCAGATTTAGGTTTTAACAAAATTAGGAGCTGAACTTTTGTTAGAGTCAAGAAGCAACAGAATTGGTTTTGACTTTTTTTTTTTAATAAATAGGGTTAATTTTAGATTAGCCTAAGCCCAATCTTTGTTTCACCTGACTCTTTTTTTATCTGAAATTAGTTAGAAAGCATTCACATAACAAGCATTATTGGATGATAAATATATATGCTAATTTTTGTCAGAAAGGTTATATCTAGTATTTTGAGGTGCTTTTGTTGACCCAGGGAGGAACTGAGATGGGATATCTCTCTACAGATGCTCTGCCTTTGACATGACAATTTCAAATTGTTTTGTAAATATCCTGTACACTGAGGTTTAAATGCAAGCTTGTACTTTTGTGTATGGCTCTATTTTTTAATTACTGTAACTGGACATACTTAGTGGAAAAATCAGTTTCTAAGAACACAACAACAAAAAAAAAAAAACTGTTGAATTTCCCTGCAATATGCTTATTTTGAAGTGGGAAGGAAGTGAACTGACATGGATAACATATGAACCTTCTCCTTGATGTGGATATTAAAGGAACCTTGAAAATAGTTTATGGGCAAGTTGTTGGAGGCTTCTAATTTTAAATTCCTAACAGGAAATCATTAAACTGTAGAGAAGCCAACATAACAGACTGTTGCTCTAAAACAAGGGCTTAATGGAGAGCATTCACATGAACTTGTCAGACTTTTTAATGCTGGTACTTCTTTCATGTTTACTGCAACACAGATAAATACATTTTAATTTTTGTGTTTTTCATCTACATGAGTTCTGCACTAACATTTTGGAAGAACTGTTACAGCAATGTTGCTGTGGACATACCTTAGGGAACATGAGAAAAAATTACTGTGTTCCAAAGGGCTGCAGCTTGATACTCCAAAGGGTGGTCAGGGCCTGCACTCCATTGGCCCTCAAAAATACAGATACCGTTCAGCTGATTTTCTCTCTATATGAGTCTTGTGTGCTTTATCTGAGACTATTGTGCTAAGACAATGACACATTCCATGTAGGCTATAAGAGGAATAATAACCTTTGGTCACTATCAGATGGGCTTTCTTAGCGGCAGAAGGAAGGAGAAGGTTTACAGTGTGGCTCTGAGCAATAAGTCAGGAGGACAGTCCAAGGGGCTTTACAAATGGGGGAGGCTTTAGAAATATACTCTGCCAAAATCAGGTGAACAGCATTGTTTTCTTGAGTTCACTGATAAATTTTAATCAATGAGAGTTATGAGCATTTTTATCTAAGCTACTAGTAATTTTGTGTTTTTCATCTGTCAGGCAAAGTAATTGTGGTTTATGCGAAGTACAGTTTTGCATAACTTTAAGTAAAACATGCTAATAGAAAAGAGGTCATCTGGCACTGGCTTGTGAAGCAGAATTAGGGTTTCCTCGTAGGTACCTGCATCAGTTCTTTGTCTGATATAGCTGAGGGAAAGGAATAAATACTGAAGTTAAAAATCTAGTACTTGTATGAACCTTCTTGCTGTATGAGCCAGTCCTATTGAGAAAGTAACTTTTTTTTTCCAAAACAGAGCTGGTTAACTTTAGCATAAACCTATTCCAGAATTACTCAAACTATACTAAAACAAAAAAGTCAACRTTTAGCCACAAGAGAACTTCTGCTGATTTAAATTTGAGATGATTTTTGAGTAAGTTGAACTAGGCCAAACAATAAAAATCCATGTGCGGACATTCAGCAATGGATTTATTTCATTTTTTACCTAAATTGGTTAGCCAGAATGAGACTAAGCTGCCATCAAGATCAAGTAAGCATCCAATTATAATAGTTTAGAAACACTGTACGTTAAACACTTGCAACTCTTCTCATATAGAATGGCTTTTAATTTTGATAAGCTCCTTACCCTTACTTCTGAATCTCATGTCTGTGAAATTGCTGAGGGAAGCAGGAGGAGTTTCTGCTGAGCATTTGATACCTTTATACATAAAATTAAGGAAAACACTCCCCATATTTATGTATTGGAGAGATATGCATGGAAAATGCTAAATTGCCTTTGAATTGTTGCCTCTTCCTCTGATCTTGAAGTCTGGAAACTGCTGTGGTACTCTCTGTCAAACTTCATTAAAAGACTTTCT